AATTGCTCATCTTGTTCTGGAGTACCGAAGTCAATCTCTCAAATCCCAATCCAGTGTCAACATGCTTTGCTGGAAGAGATTTTAGAGAACCATCGCTTTCCCTATTAAACTGTATAAGATTAATGCATATATCAGCGGAAAACCTTATTGCTGTAAAAGGTTTGCATGAGATGCTAGCATAAATGAAGTTAGCAAGATCTACTACTCTCTCTAGGCTCACTTCTTGGATAACTTTGAAATTTAAACAGTGATTGAACGGATGAATATCAGATAGGCTAATGAACAAAAATGTAGTAAATAACATAAGATAATACAAAAGTGTACCTGAATGAAAACGAGGTTCCATATCTCAATACATGTTGGATCATCATTATTCACCAATGAAGCAGCGTCACGATTGCCTACTCGGTCATAATGAATTTCAGTGCAAGGCCCACAAGGACCTGTATCACCCATCTCCCAGAAATTGTCCTATGAACAGGATAAACCCAATTAGAAAGATCACAGAACCTATCATATAGTTAATCATAAAGGCTTTCATACATTTTTAATGCAATGGAAACATTAAAACTAAACCAAACTCTTCATTTCAACCAAATAATTTATTTCCTTCTTCAAACAAGTCATAAACAGATTACTCTAAATCTCAACCATAAGCTTCAACACAAGGACACAACACAAACGCACACACATATATGTATATAGGGGTATGCAAAATCCAAATCAAATTCAGGATAAGTTTTGAAGTACACAAGGTGCACCAAGAATAGCTTGGTTTGTCAGCAAAGAAGAATAAATGAAACCACTTAAAGGAAGATTCCCAATATACCCTCAATATAGCAGAAAATTTAAGACGTCTCGAGGACATGCATGATAATAGACAAACACAAAGGGGAAAAGAGACACAAGGGAAAACTTACTTTGCAACCAAATGGCAGTACACGTCCAGGGGGCAGAAACTTGAGCCACAAATCTCTAGCTTCATTATCAGGCGGAAGACCAACTTTCTCATCACCACCGAAATAAGTGGCATAAATACGATCGGTAGGCAGGCCATAAACCTGCAGTTCCAAAAAAAAGTTTGGAAATTGTGAAAAGAAAATTTAAAAAGCAACTCGGACTGATCAAGTCCCTAATAAATTAGCTATATAAACAGAATATTATCCAATATATGATTGACAATGGTTGATAAATTATTTATGCTTTGCAATGAGAATAACAAATAAATGCATAAAATACCTTAGTGAGGAGTTCCCAAGCCCACTCAATTGCCTCCTCCTTGAAATAATCCCCAAAAGACCAATTTCCTAACATTTCGAAAAAGGTATGGTGATAAGTGTCTTTTCCTACATCATCAAGATCGTTATGCTTCCCGCCAGCTCGAATACATTTTTGAGTGTTGCATGCCCTGCGGAGCTTACTCATAGCAGTGTTGGGATCCACGGTCCCCAAAAAAATCGGCTTGTACTGATTCATGCCTATCCAAACACCATTAAAAAAAGTGAATCAAACTACTTTTAACTAAATTTAGTAAATTTATACAGTACCATGAAAAAGAAACTAGGTATCACAGAGCTGAGAGTTGGAAGTTGCGAGATGATACTTTGTCATACCCAAATCAACAAAAAATTTATCCAGATAACAAATATATAACAAAAACAAAGAGGAAATTAATAAAACAAATGATAAGAAGAAGAAGAAGAAGAAGAAGGGCCTGATTGGTCTGTTTGAAGTTGTAAGCATCTACACTGAAAATAGAAGAAAATAAAGCGTACCGGCATTAACGAACAACAGAGTGGGATCATTGTGAGGAACGACGGGACTGGATTTCCAATAGACGTGATTTTTGCCTTCGAAGAACTTGAAGAAGGTGTCTCGCACCTTCTTCGCGGGCCACTCCATCTGCGGCGGGTCAACGCCCGGCATCGTCGCCGATTTGCGGAGTGATGAAAAAGAATAAGGCGCAGGATTAGGGGTGATGGCAGAGAGACAGGTGAAAACCCTGGATAGGCTAAGTCTTGGCGCCGCCACAAGACAAGCAAGACCTAGAATACAGTCACAGAGGATAGGGACCCTCATTCATATTCTAACGCTACACTGGAACCAGATTTTATTAACACGCGCCAGCGCCAGCGCCAGCGCCAGCGCCAACGAATATAATATCTTGAAATTGTAATTACCTTTAATTGTTTGGGTAAACTATGCTGATGGTCATTAAACTTTTAAAACATTTACTTTGGTTATCAAAATTTTAAAATTATCTTTATAACCCTTAAGTTTTCAATTCACTTTCATTAAGATTATTATAGTTGATTTATGTGACAATAAAATCTTCTTTCAAAATACAATCAAGATAAATTACAAAGATGATATTTTTTTCAATCGGAAAAACTAACAAATAAAAACAGAGACGAAACGAAAAGAGAAGCAGTGAGCTAGTAATTATCAATTTGAAAGAAGACAAACTATATTTTTTTAGGGTTTTTTAATGCACCGTATCAACTTTTCTTAACGAAAGTGATCAGGATAAAAAAATTAAAAGTTTAATTATTATAAATTTAAGTTTTAAAAGTTTGACGACTAAAATAAAAATTTCCTAAAAGTTCAATGATGGTTACTGTAGTTTACTTTTAACAATAAGATTTTTTTTACTTTTGTTTTTCTCCAAACATTTTTCTCCCGAAAATATCTTTAGATTTTCCTCATCATTTTGCGGTTCATTTTCCTTAATGTCATACGACAAACAGAATTTAGAAAAAGAATAATGATGTTTCTCTGCTTAGTTTACACGTAGATTATAGTTAACTTCTTAGGGATCATTTTATATAAAAAAATCAATTTTTATATAATTTAATTATTTTTTATATATTTTATATTGATGATTTAATTTTATATTCTCTAAAATTTTATAGGATAAACTACGCATTTAATACATAGTTATCAGCTTTTGTACATTTTAATATTTAAACTTTCAATTTTTTCAAGATATAGCTAACATTTAGTTTTGTTTCGTTTTAGTACCTCGTCTTTAAAAACTAAACGTTAAATTTTGAACATGATACTAAAATGAAATAAAAAACTAAACCTTATGTATGATTTTGAAAAAATTAAAAATTTAAGTACTAAAATGGATCAAAACTGATAGTTTAGATACTAAATATGTAATTTACCCAATTTTATATGTTGACCTATCCGTATCTAACCACTCAACATCAAACATCAAAACCCGAGAAAAAAATTTCATCTATCGTAGTACTCCATTTGTCTCACTAAATGTGTCTCTTTTTATTTTTAAAATTATCTTATTTAAAATGTTATATTAAAAAAATAACAAAAAACAACACTTATATTTTTTTACCCTTATATATCATATTCTTTTACACCTATCAAAACGAATTTGTCAAATCTATCAATCATCTTTTAGGATGATTTTGTTGTTTTTCTTGATCAAATATATATCCTAAAAATATGTGCATAATTAATATCAGACACAAATTATGGGACGGAGGGAGTAATTTTATATGGTTGTCATTGACACCATCATAAACTCTTGCCATCACTAGGGTTGTTCAAAAATACCTAACACGATTGACCCGACCCGTCGACCCGAACTAAAAAATCCAGTTTTTTCTATAAAAAAATTTTGGGTACCTGGTTACCTGAATACCCGGTTAATTTTTTTATATATTATAATATTACATATTTAATTATTAATAATTTTATCTATTAAATTAAACTAATAAAAAAAACCACCCACCCAATAATTTTGTATGTTGATAATTAATATAATATCTTTTAATAATATCAGTTTTATTTTTTAAATTTAATAATTAGAAAATGATAAAAAAAATTGGGTACTTGATTACTTGAATTACGGTGTGCCTGGTCACTGGGTACCCACAATATCTGGATTTGTACAATGGCCGAAAAATCAAATACCCGAAGACCCAGGTACCCGGATTTGAACACCCTTAGCCGTCGCGATCAAAACCTAGTCTTCTGCCCATTGTGAAATTGTGTCGATCGTCGTGAAAAACACCGTGAATATCGTCAAATTTTTATGTTTTTCGTTATTTTTTCAAGCGACTTAAATGGCTACAGTTGTTCGTACGTTGCACGACCATCACCGTTGAGTTCCTCATCCTCCTCCGAATAAAACTCGATCGGTGGTGACCCTTCATCGTCAACAGTAGGGGATGAGAGGGAGATGGATGATGCAGTGGGGGTTGATTTTTTTTCCTTTTTAAAAAATAATATTTCTATTATTAAAAAATAAAATAAAATAAAATATAACAGCAGACATCTAAAAGTTGAAAAAAGTAACGTAGACACCTAGAAGTGTAACGAAGAAAACGTTAAGCACCTATTATTTGCAAAAAAAATCTTTAGGCACCAACTTATAATTTAAGGTATAGTTTTAAGCACTAAAAAGTGTATCAAGCCTTTTTTAATATAACATCATTCTCCTCAAAACATCATGGATAAACTACATTAAAAGTCATTCAACTATTAAGTTGTTTATAAATAAGTCATTTTCTTAAAATAATATAATTTAATTATTCAACTAAAATATTATTACAAACACGTCATTCTGATGTTAAAATTGAAACAAATCTCTAACGTGATATGATATAACAACAATTTTAATCTCAAAAACTTGTACACCCTATCAGTCTAGTCATATACAGAAAATTCAATAAATCCAATATACATATTTTATCAATTCAGTCTGTAAAATTAATTTATAACTAATAACGAGTTGGTATATTAAAATGAGATACTAGATCCGAATTGGGAAAGTCGCTTTTGTAATAACTATTTACAGTATCCGATCTGAATTAGTCCGTCATCACACATACACATACCAATTAAACTAAATTCCGGATTCTTTCGAGTTGGGAGTTTGTCTTCATACTCCTCTATTTGGCTTTACTTCAGTACTCTTTATTATTTCATGAGAAAATCAAAGACGGTAAAACATGTCAAGGGAAAGGTGAAGGTGAAGCAACAAATTTATTCTTTAAGATTGCATTGCATATCCTTCAACTATCAAGATTACAGACATTAATTGATGCATCGAGTTTATCCGGTTCAAACGAAAAAAGTTTGAATGTTGAACCCTATGTCACAAATGTTATCCTAAAAGACTCGACATATCGGCACAAGGGTGCCTAGAGAAAGAAAAACATCGGGACGGGCTGTAACGGAAAAGGGTCGCACGTAAAGATCAAAGGGTAAAACATATTTGCATCTTTTTACCGGTTCAAGAGAGTCGAGCGCATCCGAAGAAGTGCTCCAAGGATGGAGAGCTGAAGACATTTGCTGCAGTCCTTTCAGATCCGACAGGAGAAATGTGGAGTTGATATTTGATGAACCTCTGCGAAGAAGAAGAAAAGAACTCTCAAAATCATTGGCATTGTGACGAGAATGACTCCGGAATCTAATATCAGAACATAAGCATCGTGACAATAATATATTCAGAAATCTAATATCAGAATATTCCGAGTGCTGATTGATTAACTATGTCGGAGATTATGGCAGGAAAAAAAATATACAGCTAACTGAGAAAGTATTTCGGGATTTGTGTCAATATGCCAATCCGGTTCTAGTTGCCGAACAAAAGATGTCCGTCCATTTTCTGTGCTGCAAAAGAGAACCTGCAGATTCATTTCAGGCAAAGTAAAAATATTAAACATGTTACCAAAAACAAGAGGATATAACACTAAATTTCTGAAATTAGCAAAGAAAGAATGATCGATTAGTTTACGTTCTAATTTTTTATAGCAGACACCAGATTTCACAGTCCAGACATAACCCCCCCCCCCCCCCACAAAAAAAAGGAACATATCGATTTGATATATCTAAATCTAAGAAAAATTACTATACAATCAAAATGATCACAAATCACAATTACAGACCTTGTCCTTTACCATACCACCAGAGGTGAAAATTCCAGCATTTTCCAAGGCCAGAAGCACATTTTTCTATAGACGAACATTTTTCACAATGTTAGTCACCAGGAAAAACACATGATATGAAAATCTGCAAGTAGCCTAATATAAGCACCACTATGAGAAAATACTACAGCCTGAAACAAATAAGGAGGAATACTGCACCTGCAATGCCACACTCGAGAGTGTGGGCACACACAAAGAAAAGTAAAACAAGGAGGAAAATTTCGCTTGTAATTAGAAGAATATGCCTATCAAAACCTTCAAACACCTAATATATCATAGAAGACATTTAAGGAAGTTTAAGCTTTGACAAATTAGCATAAATTAATACAATAGAAAAAGGTTTGAACTCACTTCACTTTCATCATCAATAACTCTTTCCATGAGATAAAGATCGCAAAATTTGGTTATCTCCAATAGCACATCCAACACAGAGGACCTCACTGTTGCTTGTTTCTACCCAAAATTAGACAAATCAAATTAACCATATGCAGATAAAGTTAGAAACATAAAGCTCACAGAAAAGATTAACACCTGCAGCTCCTCTGGACTGCTTTCCTCAAGGATAACTCCAACCAAACGGCATGTTACCTACAACAATAAGTTGTCACACCATTAAAGTTAGACGAAGACCTTAAAAAGGCCCTGACCAATGACTTGATAAAACAGCATATGGATTAATACCAACGTGCCCAAAACTTATGCATGAAAGTCTAGAGGTAATTAGTACGGAGAGACTAACGTACTTTTGCAGTATGATAAAACTAGAAGGTTATATAGCTACTGGCAAAGTTCAGTAGATTACCAGTACTGACGTGAGAGGTTAACTAGCTCATGTATTAGTACGCAAAGGCTAAACTAACAGCACAGAATCAATTCAACAAATTCTGCCACATAGTAGTACAGCAGCTAGTTATGACAATACCAGGTAATGGCTGTCGGTAATAACCAAGCATGTCACATAAGACTCAGGTGCACATTCAAGGTGTAGGCAGATTTCTAGATTTACAATAGCAATATTCCGTGATAGCTTCAGTTAAAAAATTGACCAACACAAGTTAATTGAAAACAGTGGATATATGGAATATGCTGAATCTTGGTATTATTTTCACATTTACTTTAGCAAGTTATTCTGACAAATAGACCCATTTAAACAATTGATAGCAACAATGAAATCCAATACTAGAATCAAAAACCCACTCAAAGAGGATCCAGGGATTGTATGAGATGACAATAAAAGCTGCTCAGTTAACCTGGCCAATTTACCAAACTACAAGCATAGAAACTGAAAAATTTTCAAAAAATTTAAAGTTCTTTCCAGTTGTTAATCAGTGCTAAAGGAGAATGGTTATCACATCAAAAAATCCTAAACAAAGCAACCAATATGTTTGAATGAGCAAAAAAAGAAATCCTCATTTCTAACTCTGTCCATAGTCTCAGAACATATCAAAGAATCCAACTTCCAGAAAAAAAAAGGACACAAACAAAATATTTTCTCATTGTATTAACCATTAAGGACTAAGGAGTATTTGTAGGTTACCTTCCTACCTTCACTCAGTTTCTGCCTAATTATTTGCCCTAATGTTGGCTGCAAAGAGGAAAAAGAGGGACGCAAATTATAATTGGAGAGTAAAAAACATATCAAAACGCCGTAGAAAGAGGTCGTACCTTTACTGGATGGAAGAACTCATCAACAACATTTTGTGCTCTTAAATCCTCTGAAGGTGAACAAACTCCAGACGGCGTCAATGTTGCATTTGACTGGGTACTGATAGAAGAGCTACTAGTTGATGGAGTTTGACGTTTGGGTTGCCTTCCTGGGGGTGCTGCAGGTGATCTCATAAACCTATAGGTAAAGATAATTGCAACAGCAAGCCCTGCAATAGCCCCAACAGATCGTGGATCCTGATGCCAATATGGACATGGTAAGAACATACACATCACCTTCGGAAACATTGCTAAAAAGAACATAATAGCTTCATACACATTGAACAGAAAATGAAGGATAAAACTAAGGGCAGCTCTACAACCCCGGATGCCCATAGCTAAAAAAAGAAAAGAAAAATCATTTCTTGATTCAATAGCAGACAGTAGTGCATGCCTTCTTAAAACCATCATTCTGAAGTAACTTCTGTAATGTCAACAACTGATTTGAGGTGCCTTTCACCTCAATATAGCATTTTCATTCTTCTTATAGCAGTAAAGCTCAAAAATCAATAACGTCAAGAAAGAAGCTCGCATTGGAGACGAATCAACACCATTTATTGTCCGTAACAATTATCATATAGTAAACCAGTAGAAGAAGTAAATAATTTATCTAAAATACGAGAATTCAAACCTGCAATAAGATTAATTTCTCCATTATTATAATTTTCTTCAGTAGACAGATTTTCAAATAAAAATCAATATTCCGCTAAAATCACCAATAAATACCAAAATCATAGAACTAATTATGAAAAAGTAAGAATAAAATGTCGTTTTCAAGCAACAAAAAGGTCGCATCGGATTCGCAAAAAAGACGAGAGAAAAGAATTCAAGAGAGAGAGAACCAGTTTGTGTAACGAGATCGAGAAGAGATTTGACATCTTGTGGGCCAGATAAGTTCCGAGACGCTTGATGAGCTGAATCAGCTCGTCCTTGGATGACGACAAAGACGAAGATGGCTCCGCCATGGCAACTGGATTAGTGAAAGACAACGCCGCTCGATCGAGCAAAAGCTGTTCTCGTTGCGAGCGAGAGGAAGCTTTTTTTTTTTTCAGATTCTCAGCACCTCAACACCATTTAATTAAATCACTCAAATATATAAAATGAGAAATTCACCAATTTCGCTCTGTAAATAAAGATTTCTTCTTTTTTGCGTCAACTATGGATATTTTGTTGTTGTTCATTTTCTTTCCTTCTTAACCATTAAAGTTAATTACATCATACATCCCCAAACTATATCCATCATTCTAAATTAGTCTTCATATTTCTGAATTCTCTAATTTCATCTCTAAACACAGACTCTCATTCCAAATTAGTCCTAAAACTTCTAAACATTTTAGTTTTATCCCAAACTATGACTCATTCTAAATTGATCATCAAACTTTTGAATCTCCAATATCAACCCCAGATTCATTCAAATACAATTTCAACCATAACTTAACCTTTTTTTCTCAAAAATATAATAATATTGCATTACCTAACAATTTTATTAACATGAATGTGATTGGCTTCGTTGGTTATATGGGGTGGGCGGGAAAAGTTTTGAAAACTATGGGTGTTTGAGAATTATTTTGGGATCTAGGTCATTTGGTACAGTACACGTAGAACTCGTCTGAAGAGTTCCATAAAATATATTAAAAAATTGAAACTTATCACAAGGGGGTGAAGATTCCATACAAGTTCCATGTGCAATGTAGCAAATGCCCTAGATTCCAAAGTAATTTTTAAACACCCCTATTTCTTTAAAAAAAATCCACCCACATTATTCTTAAAATTTAGTGGGATGTGATTAGCATAAATCAATAGTTTGTGACGAAATTTAATGTTTAAAAGTTTGGAGACCAATTTATAATGAGGATCATAATTTAGGATGAAATTGAAATATTCAAAAGCTTGAGGATTACTTTAGAATGAAAGTTATAACTTGGAGATTTAATTAAAATATTCAAAAGTTTAGAGTTCAATTTAAAATAAGAATCATAATCATAATATGAGAATATGTAACGCAATTAACTCCAATTTTTATTTAATTAAAAAAAAATTAGATCAAAGTATGATTATACATAATACATACAAATTTTTCCTTTTAATACTCTAGAGTAATTACAAAATATAATACTCTAGAGTAATTACAAAATAGTATACTCTATTAAAAAAATAAGATAGTATAGATTTTTTTAATTTATTGATTAATAACAAACACATCTTGTAAATGTAGTTATTCGAACTCAAATCTTTTAATAAAAATAATATTCTATTTCAAGGACTGACACAAAATTTTATGTTAGAGGGTGAATTAGAACTTATAAAATTCCAGGGTAGCGAAAACAAATTTTCAATAGAAAATACATAAAAAAAAATCTAAAATATACAATAATTTTAAAATTTCAGGGCGACTGTCCCACCCGTCCCTCGGTCCATTCCAGTTCTATTTTATTACCGAGCTGACTAAATGTACTCAACTCATACAAATATAATTATACGAGTAAGGGGACTTGAGTGATGGAAGAATTTCGGGTCAACCCATGGCTAGAAATAGAGAAAAAATCAACATATATCGTCGATGGTATCATCGACGGCTATGGGGTTTATCCCCTTCCGATTTCCCAACCAGCACCATTAATGAACATCTCTTGTTCAAGTGGAAGTAATAGGTCTTGAAAACTCGTTCCAAAATCCAAAAGGAAAAGCAATTTCATTTCTAGCCGGTTCAGTTCAACACTGGTCACTCCTCCACCCGGGTATAGAACCCATTGTTGTAGTGCCTCAAACATTGCCAATAACTATAAAATATTCCTCAAAAAACACCAAGTTTTTAAAGAAGAAGAAGAATAATACTTACGCATCATCGAGAACCTTAGCAGCAACCATGACACAAGTAACAAGCAATCTATGCACATTCAACGATACGAGGGGCGAATTCAGATGTTTATGTGCCAACATGTCGATATAAACGTATCCCAACACAAAGCACGAAGGACTGCAATTTGTGTATTTATAAATCCTCTCCAAGTACTTCGGTATGCTTATATTGGGAGCCCTAACGCCATGAAACGCATGCAAGCATTTCCCTAGGGGAGCCGAAGTATTATGTCAAGTGGCGTTCGAGTTCAGCCCATTCGACTGCTCGGTTAGGACTGTTAGGAAATAAACGAGTAAACAAGTAATTTCCCTATAACTAGATTAGTGAGAATGCGAAATAAAAGCGGAAAAATAATACTCGAAATTGATAACGGAGTTCAGCCAATTTGCTTACATCTCCGGACTGCTGCAGATCTTTTACTAAGAGAGAAAATTTACATGTGTTTACAAAACACTCATTACTCACAAGAAAGCTATCTAGTATTGGGAGAAAGAAATGATTTTTATGGGATTTTGGGATGATATTGAAGCTAAATGAGCTAGGGTATTTATAGTTGAAACTTAGGGACTAATCTTTGAAAATACCCTACAGTGCAATGACTAAAGTGAATTTACCCATTCCTATTTTCAACAAACATCTACCAAACTTTGAAAAACATTTTTCAAAGAAACATTTACCAAACTTTGAAAACCATTTTCAAAGAAACATTTATCAAACTTTGAAAACCATTTTCAAAGTTGGTTGCCAACCTTTGGACTTTTAATAATCTCTCACTTGAAGACTGATTTTAATCTGTCTTCACATCTCGATCGATGCAGCATCATTTCTAGTCTTGTTATTCTTGCATGCCAACTGAAGCTGAACACAACTTCAGTTTGTCCGTGGTCACCCTCTTTGTCAACATGTCTACCGGATTTTGAGCTCCGCTAATCTTTTCAAAATCCCATCTTCTAGAAGAGACCGAATAAAATGATATCGCAATTGTATGTGCTTCGTCCTGGAATGAAAAGACAGATTCTTTTCTAGATGGATAACACTTTGATTGTCGCAATACAAGACATTGTTTTCTTGTTTCTTGCCTAACTCTTCCAAGAAACTTTGGAGCCAAACCATCTCCTTGCTGACTTCCGTAACAGCGACATATTCTGCTTCAGTTGTGGAGAGAGCAACTATCTTCTGTAGTTGAGAAACCCAACTCACTGCAATTCCTCCTAGAGTATAGACATACCCTGTAGTGCTCCTTCTGATGTCAACATTTCCGGCTAAGTCAGCATCTACATAACCTGTCAGTATCGTATCTCCACCTTTGAAACAAAGTGCTTTGTTTGTGGTACCTCGCAGATATCTGAGGATCCATTTGACTGCTTCCCAATATACCTTGCCCGGATTATTCATGTACCTGCTAACAGCTCCCACTGCATGAGAAATATCTGGTCTGGTACAAACCATGGCATACATCAGACTTCCAATTGCTGAGGCATACGACACCTTCATCATGTGTGCACGTTCTTCCTCCGTCTTTGGTGACTGTTCTTTGGAGAGTCTGAAATGAACACCTAAAGGTGTACTTACTGGTTTAGCATATTGCATGTTGAACCTGGAGAGTACTTTGTTGATGTACTCAGCCTGTGATAACATCAAAGTCCCCGACTTTGTGTCTCTCTTGATCCTCATCCCAAGAATCTGCTTTGCAGCGCCCAGATCTTTCATTGCAAACTGCTTCGACAATTTTTGCTTCAAGTTTATAATCTCTTGCATGTCTGAGCCTGCAACGAGCATGTCATCAACGTACAACAATAAAATAATAAAGCTATTACCGAACCTCTTGATATAACAACAATGATATGCTTGGCATCTGGTAAAACCACTGCTACCCATGAAGCTATCAAACTTCTTGTACCACTGTCTAGGAGCTTGTTTTAAACCATACAAGCTCTTCTTCAACCTGCATACCTGGTTTTTCTTGCCTGCCTCTATGAAGCCTTCTAGCTGCCTCATATAGATTTCTTCCTCCAAATCACCATGAAGGAAAGCTATCTTTACATCTAACTGCTCAAGATGTAAATTCTCTGCAGCTACAATTTTCAATTCCAGTATAATTGTAGACAGCTTCACGACCAGAAAGAAAATTTCATTATAGTCAATACCTTTTTTTTGTTGAAAATCTTTGACAACCAATCTCACTTTGTAGCGTTTGCTCCTATCGTGCCCTTCCTTGATCCTGTAAATCCACTTGTTGTGGAGTGTTTTCTTGTCTGGTGGTAATTCAGCTAATTCCCACGTCTGATTTGACATAAGGGAGTCCATCTCATCTTTCATGGAAGACTCCCACTTGACTGAATCCTCCACTTATATTGCTTCATCATAGCACTCTGGTTCACCATTGTCAGTCAGCAATAAGTAGTGCAAAGAAGGAGAATATCGTTGGGTTGGTTTAGGAATTCTGGAGGATCCTCTCAGTTCTGGTGTGACTGGTTCTTCTTGAACTGCTTCAGGACTGATCTGAACATCATTTCCAGAAATCTCCTCGAACTCAGCAAATTTCTTTGTTTCAGCTTCAGCATTGGAGCTACTTGATTCTATGGTTGACTTGTCTTTGTACATCACATTCTCATTGAAAATGACATATCTGCTTCTGATGATCTTTTGATTTTCGTAGTCCCAAAACCGGTAACCAAACTCATCACTGCCATAACCAACAAAGGCACATTTATTGGACTTAGCATCAAGTTTACTTCTTTCAGCAGAGTCTATGTGTACATAAGAAATACAACCAAACACTCTTAAGTGTGAAAGGTTTATTTCTTTCTTGCTTCAAACTTCCTCTGGTATTCTGCCATCCAAAGGAACTGAGGGCCCACGGTTGATCAAGTAAGCAACAGTGTTGATAGCTTCAGCCCATAGAAATTTGGGCAATCCGGCATGTATCCTCATACTTCTGGCACGTTCATTCAGAGTTCTGTTCATGCGCTCTGCTACGCCATTATGATACGGTGTCATGGGAATTGTTATCTCCATCTTGATCCCATTGTTTGCGCAGAAATCTCTGAATCTTCTATTTTTGTACTCTCCTCCATTGTCAGACCTCAACTGCTTGACTTTCAAACCAGTCTCATTTTCCACCATGGCCTTCCATTTTGTGAAGGTATCAAAGACTTCTGATTTCTTCTTCAGAAAATAAACCTACACCTTCCTTGTAGAATCATCGATGAAGGTGACATAATATAATGAGCCTGCAAGAGATGGAACTGGAGATGATCCCCATACATCAGTATGAACCAACTCTAACTTTTCAGCCTTGGGTG